TATTTACCCTATATGTAAACATAACATTCTGACCTTTATGTAAACATAACTTGAAACGTACCTGTTCTTAAAGATAGTTTCAATTTTGTACAACAATTCCTAGCATTTTTGCACTTTAATTAAATATGGCAGCTTAGAAAAACTGGATCAAATTGTCGCATTAAAATAGCTGACATGTAGAATTGTGAGGTGATAAAACCGTTGAATGTTTGTGCTAAAACTGTTTTAAATGCATGGAAAAAAATTACTAGAGGCCAATAACCTCACTAATTCTCTTTTTTTTACAAAAAATCGGTGAGTTCGAACCTTGAGAGTCATTAAAGACATGAAGAAGGTGAAGAGAAATTCACTAAGAAGCATGTGGAAGATGTCAAATTTCGGATAGGTCGCTAAGGAAGCTTGTGAAAGATGATTTACGACGAAAAACGACAACGACATCTGATCTAATGTGCATCTAAGTAAAAATAACCTGGAAGAGGAAGGACAATTTTGAAGCAGACAAATTCTTCATTTGGTCGGGCAAGCTATAGTCCACTATCAAGACAATAGGGTTTACGTCACTTCACAAAGAAAAAAATCCCTAAAATATTAGAACGAATTTCAACAAACTGGTGTCATGGTTCGTACCGCTGTTGCTATTGATGATTTGTCAGAGACTTTGATGTTCGTTGAAGAAAGAGTTTTGAATAGGAGGGTTTACCAGAAAATCATGAAGAGAGATGGATCCCAGCTACAATACGAAGTCGCTATGTATTAACTGAAGACGAAGCTTCCGTACAAACAGCCAATTTAACGCGGAACTGGTGCAAGAGACATTTCCGTTGATCTTTTGACAACTCAATTTGGCCTCCATCAAACCCTGGCATTAATCCTATGGACTATGTAGTATATAGATCATGTTTCAGAGCCATGTCTCACTTACCTCATATTCAAGTCATTCAGACATGAGAGAAGCTCTTATAGCGTCGTGGCCCAATCTGAGCGAAGAGGTACTGAAGAAGTTATGTACTTCAGCTGACAAGGGATTAAGAGTTATAGTGGATGAAAAAGGTGGCCATATTGAATTGTACGTATATGTCAAATATTGTCAACAACTTAGAATACATTAACCAAAAACTAAAACTTTTAATTTTATGATGAAAGGAATAATGGAAAAATGTATATTTTGCACCGGCTACATAACAATTCAGAATAATTTTTTTTTTTATTTTTAATGAAAATTTCCCGTTTGTTAGTTTTTTGCTTGATTTCTGGAAAACATCTTTTCCTATTCTAATGTGCATGTGGATTCTGGTTTCATCCTCTTTATTCTTCTGTAATTTTTTGCTATTGACCTCTCCAATTTGTAGTTCACAACTTGGTTTTTTTCAACAAGTCTAGGTACCTCCACTTTTTCGGTAAAAAAAAGCATACCATGATGAAAAAGATCCCAAACTTGATGAAAACAAATATTTAACTTCAAAATTTTTATGATATTATTAAGAGGAAAGACCAAAGTATTTTTATTATTTTAATAAATCTTTTAATCCTTTCTCGCACATTCGAAATTTTGGTTGAAAACTTTGTTCTTTTTGCTTCAGCGGATGTACCAGAGATTATTATGGAAATTTCGGCTCTTTTTGTGGTAAAAAAAACAAAAAAACATTGTTTTAGAAATTCATGCTAAATTCAAATAATTGCCAGATTTTAATGAAATTTTCATGTTTATTGACAAATACATGAAATTATTTTGGATATTCTTTTGGTAAAATATTTTTTTACATCTGTTACCGCCACTTAATTTTATGAAATGCCGACAGGTTTACAAACCAGCTTCTTCCTATTCATTAAAAGAAGGACTTCTTGGAGAATTTAAGTCATCAATTTGTTTTTTTCAAGAGAAAGACCATTTACTGAAACTTTACTCTGCATCGTACAATAAAAATATGCACTAAAACTACGACATTATTTATTTAGTAAAAGCTTTTAATTGGTTTTATAAATAAAACTATAGTAATGACACTAGTGTCTTAAGAAAAAAGCGACGAATAATGAATTTTTTCAAGAATTGTTTTTATTTTTTAAAATTATAATTAGAGAAATCTATTAAGTTTTAGATAATTTAATATTCTGTATTTTAGATTATATTATTATAGGGAAATCTATATTTACTAATTATAAATAGTAAAACGTAATACTAGTTTTAAATACCAAGATTTTAAAAAGAATTTTGACTTATTTTTGTATATAACCATGCCTATTTTTGAAAATATAGACAAAAAATTTTAAAAGGAAAATTCATAATCAACATTATTGTCAATATGTTAACGATATGCAGCTCCTATTCCTTTGGTTTTTGTCGGATACTGGAAATTATTCGTGCTTGAACGATTATTCTTTGCTGCTTTGTTAATACCCATAAGATTCCTTCTATCAGATTAATGTGAACTTTTCATTTGAGCCCGGCCACTGTATCATCCTAGTCCTGGCTTGGCAAGATAAACATTGAAGATAAACTAACTCAAGTTGAAAAGATTGTACTTGGGTTAGACCTTGACATTTTTGACGTTCGGTTCGTGCGATAAAATCTGCTTCTTTGGAACGGATTATAAAGGATTTGGAAGAACAACCTTTGACCCGAGTGCTGCATGCCTCTAAAATTTGAAACAAGTTCACCGAGTGCCTATCACCCATGAAACCGTCAAATGTAACCGCAGCGGCAACAGCAGAAAATATGGCATAATAACGGATCTGAGATTTCTTCTGTGAGAATGGTTCAGCGGTTTCGTGTCAGCAACCAGATCTTTCATTAATAATATGTGCTAACTGCGTTAATATGATCCTTTACCGCGAGTCAGTAAATTTTAGTTCACATATCTTTTGTCGTACTCGAGAGAAATAACTTTGCCACTTGTCACAGAAATGAAACAACAATTAATCGGCTAACATTTAATATCAAACCATTATATATATATATATATATATATATATATATATATATATGTGTGTGTGTGTGTGTGTGTGTGTGTTATGGTCCAGGTTAAGATCAAGGAAGAACAACACGAACACAAGAGTAGAAATAACAAAGGTATATTACACGAAATAATAATACAAGATGGGGAAGGTGTTAGTCTGACTGTCAGTCTTGTTTGGAGTGAACTACTATCGGCTGGACTCGATTCGGTATCTAGTCCCCCCCACGAGGGTTGCATGTGGCAGAAGACCGAGATTAACGTGGGTTTCCCGAGCCCGTAGGCTCGTCCAGAAAATGCCCGTAGAACCCGTATAAACAGGATCGAGTTGGTCATTCTCCCCGAACGAGACTTTGCCCTTCGGCGGAGCCTCGTTTCCTCTCTGCTCAGAGGCAGAGAGTTCGACCGTCAAGTCGAGAAGATCGGCTTGAATCGGTATCTAGCCCTCCACGAGGGTTGCATGTGGCACAAGGCCGAGTTTAACGTGAGTTTCCCGAGCCCGTAGGCTCGGCCAAAAAAATGCCCGTAGAACCCGTATAAACAGGATCGGGTTGGTCAACCTCCCCGAACGAGACTCTACCCTTCGGTGGAGCCTCGTCCGGGTTCCTCTCTTCTCACAGGCAGAGAGTTCGACCGTCAAGCCGAGAAGCTCGGTATCTAGCCACCCCCCCACGAGGGTTGCATGTGACACAAGGTCATTTTTATCGTGGGTTTCCTGAGCCCGTAGGCTCAGCCAAAAATATGCCCGTATAACTCGTAAAAACGAGATCAGGGTAGGTCATTCACCCCGAACGAGATTCTGCCCTTCGGCGGAACCTCGTACGGGTTCCTTTCTGCTCAAAAGCAGAGAGTTCGACCGTCAAGTCGAGAAGCTCGGCTTGATTCGTCCCTCTCTCTTGAGAGGCGTAGTATACATAGTTTTAGGAAGAGTTCATTCTGTAGTTATAGGTAAGGACCCATGACAATATATATTCCGAGATTAATTTATATCCATTCTGTCAAAATGTTAATATATAATAAATATAAATTTTATTGACAATAGTGGCATCACTTTGTTGGCTTTTTTTCCTTCTAGTTCTATTAACCGGCTTATTAAATATGTTTCTCTATCTCTAGAAATTTTATTTCGCGATATCAAATAATTGATCTCGTCCCATCAGGCCAAACTATTTTACAGAAATAAATGAATTTTAAATTTATCCAGGCGCAAACGAAAAATTCCCCAGGTCCGACAGCTAACATATTCCCCAGATCACGCCCTATACGAATTTCTCCTCATTCTGTCGAGAAAATTCAAGGCAACGAGGAAGAGAAATAATGCTGTCTTATACCAGCCCCATATATGTTAGGGAAACAATAATACAAACGCTCTATATTATGTATAATAACGCTGGGCAATCTCCTCACCGAAGGCGAAGAGACTTGACGCAAAGAGTCGTTGCCGAAGAGACCTGAGTTTCTCTTTAGTTCGTGGCCTTAGAAAGGGACTATTTCGATGGAGGTTAAATGCCAAATTGATATGTATTGTAGTTTTCCTTTTATACCACCATTTCCGATACTTTTTGATCAGATCGCGTACATATATAATTCCCCTATTTAATGTGCTTTTATTCGACATCTGTCTACCTTCTAAAAGCCACAAGTCTATACTTCAAAGAATACGCAAATTTTATTTAAAAGATACGATTTCTTAAATACATACATGCAAATGTCGATATGTATATGCATTGAAATAACTCACCTTCGCATAGAGTCAATTATATCTACTTTTTTAAAAGAAATTATTATTTTATATCTTGTTAGAATTTTTAAAAAAATATTCTTAAAAATAAAATGTAATAAAAATAACAACAGATACCTTTTAATCTTCAAAATGTATATTCATTCAATATTTTTTAAGGCAAAGAAGATCTTTAGTCGATATGTTTCTGCTTACGTAAGGTGTATTACAATGGCTCCAAAATGTAAGCGGTGGGTCTGACCCTCCGAGAAGGATTTATTAAAAAAGACATTCTTTTTTTATAGAACTTTGTGAACCATCAGACTAACTTTAAGAAAGGAACCCAGAAAAAAAGAATTCAAGTTTGGCGAGTTTAAAAGAAAAACTGAAAGAACGAAAAGAATCATGGTCAGAAGACAAGATAGAATGGAAGGAAGAAAAGAAACAAGAGAAGAAACGGAATGGAGAATTATAAAAGAAAAAAAATCAAACGTAGTAATAAAAGAAAAGAACATACACAGCTATAAGTGAATCATAGAAAAGAAATTTCGACTACGTTGAACACATGATCATATAAGTTGAGAACAGAATGGATACTGAAATTCCTCCTGAAATTATCTCGCTATTTAATATTAACCAAAGAATGCTGACGAGGAGACTGACCGATTCATTATAAGGATACATTCATCTTATATCATAATACCTATTCTCTTGTAATGGATTCTCCCGCAGATAATAAGTAGTAGTAGCAGTGGCCAGTTGGGCTGAGTGGTGTTGGGCGAGTCAGTCGATATCGGACATTGAAGTACCAGCCATCACAACTAGATTGCTGTGTCATTAACTCTTATTTCCAAGTTCCTAACGTTTTGTACGTCGAACCTAATTTAGGACGACTTATTGAAATACAAGCATCCACTGTGAAAACTACTCTACAACAATTCATTGATCAGTATTTATCTTAAAAAAAAAATTACAGGAGTAAAAACAAAAAAAAACAAAAACAAAAAACACAAATTTCTTCTATATGCTATGTCCTTTCGGAGCGTTGCTAATCATGATTCGCCACAATTTTCTGTCGATTTTAGTTCTAAATATTTTTTTATTGTTGTGATCTCTACACAAAGCTTTTTCTGTCATCCATTTACACAAGTTCACTGTGTAAGTTCCGCTTTCTCCCTTGCCTTCTGTGATTCCCAAATCCACTCTCCACATTATATGCCTTAGAAATGTTAACTGTATCTTATTGATGCTAATCCTGACTGCACTTTTTGTCTCCAATTTCCCAAAAACTTCCTCATTACTCACATGTTCAGTCCATGATATTCTCAGTATCGTTCAGTAGATCGAAATATCTATCGGCTGAAGTTTCTCCTTCATATAGGAGACGATTGTCCAGTATTGACTGCCAAACAGGAGGACTGATATTACATAACAGCTCAGTATTATTTTCTTTGTTTCAAACTAAATTTTCTGATTTCTTAATACTTTGCTTAATTTTTGGAAAGCATCGTTCGCTATCCAAATGCAGTTTAAGATTTCGGTGCTACGCATCCCATCCTCTGTCAAACATTTCTCATATTGTTGTACTTGCTGGATTTTAGTATCGTTAATTCTAATTTTCTGGACTCTTCCTTTTGCTGAAAACCATACATTCTGATTTCTTGCACTTGATGTTAGTCACTACCTTTTCTTGAAGTGCTTGTAGTTTCCTTTCTGTGTCTGATATCAAAGTGTATCTAATGTCGTTAATAATTCAATAATTAACCCTGGTAGAACATTTAATTCTCCCAGAGTCGCGTCACTGTATAGGTTGAATAAGTCAGGTGAGAAAACACATCCTTGTCTTACATCCGTTTCTATCTTTGTACATTTACTGAATTAATATAATAGATTTCTCATACCCAATAATCGCGATCTTTCATTCTAGTTTTTATGGGAGTTTCCTTCCTAACTTTTTATTTGAAGTAGTGTGGAAAGTTAATATCTTGATTATATTATTATCTTCTCTTCGAGTTAGATACACGATACATTTTCGTTGTCACTATTTGATATAGTTTCTTTTATTTGGTAAATGTCTTTATTTATGATTCCGTAGCGCCACTGTACGTGATCCTGTGAAGTTGACTACTCATAAATATTCATAGATTTCATTAGGCTAAAATCATTGTTAATCATTGATTTGGGGCTTTTTCAATTTTTTCTTTTTTTTTTTGAACGGGTATAGAGGTTTTTTTTTATCTTGTTTCCTACTCTGGATTAGATTTCACTGCCAGTAGCCTCTTGCGTCTTTGTGGAATTATCGCCTTACCTGGGGTGAATATAGATGATAGTTTAGATAATTCTACACGAGTTTGATGCTATACATGACATCCATATGCGAGTTCTAGATCAGACAATGTATTATTAGGTTAATATTTTGCGTTGTTGACCGAAACTGGCCCAACTGCAGCCTGTACGGTATTCATTTTCCTTAGTTCTTGGGAATTCGAACGCCTATGTCGGAATGCTATCCATTTTCCAAAATATTATGCAAACTTCTCTCTCGCGATCACCATCAACTGATTTGTTAAGTTAATATTCATCATTATTTCAACATCGATTTAATTTAAAAAAAAAAAAAAAACATGGGGCAAATTCGGAGAGTCGAGAAGGCAATCATTAGTGACACCCTGTTGTAACAAAGGAAAACCTTGCATAAGACATAAGACATCTACTCGTTCAGTTACAATGAATGCAGCAGTCGCACAGTAAACACACTCGCTAATTCATAATGACTGTATAGCCACGTGGGTGAGAGACTGTTAAAGTTAGTGCTGTAGGTGTGATTGATTTCAAGTTGGCAACTAAGTTGCAAAATAACCATGCAATTCGTTCATGAAATATTCAAAATGTCTGGATAAGTCAAGAACGTGCCTTGTACATTGTGTAAGATTAAATTCTAGCAGAATTAGAAAAAAGAAGATGCATAGAGAGAAAGAGGGAGAGCGAGAGAAGAGAGGATTGAAAGAGAAATAAACAAATAAATAAACGAAAAGAAAGACAATAAGAGAGATAAAAGCGAAAGAGAGAGATAATAGAAAGGGAATAAATAAATCAAGCAAAGACACATACACACACACACACACACACACATATATATAAAGAGAGAGAAACAATGAAAAAGAGAAAGAAAAAAGAAAAGGAAGTAAATACTGGAAGAAAAATATAGGGACAGAAAAAGAGAGAGAAAGGAGTCAAATATGTCGAGAAAGAAAGAAATATACAGAAATTAAGAGAGAAAGAAAGTGAGAACCAAAACCCAGGTAAGAGAAATAAAAAGACACATATATGTAGATAGATAGATGGATAGATAGATAGACACAGGCAGATAGATAGATAGATAGATAGATAGATAGATAGATAGATAGATAGATAGATAGATAGATGAATAGATATGAAAAATAAATAAACGAAAAAAGATATAAAATAAGAAATGAAAATATAAATAAACGACAAAAGCTATATAATGTATAAGAATATGGATATGATATATATATATATATATAGCTATATATATATATATATATATATATATATATATATATATAGATAGATAGATAGATAGATAGATAGTATCTATCTATCTATCTATCTATCTATCTATCTGGGTAGTGAAAAATCGATGAGAAAAAGAAATTGACTGGAACGATATTAATACGTGAACTATGAATCTGAAGGGGAAATAAAAAGCCAAAGTTTCTCAAAGAATATATTATGCAGAAAAAAGAAACGCTTAGCACAGATGAAAACAGATAAAAGAAGAAAATTAACAATGATAAAAGAACAGTTTAATGTATTCACGGGAAAAGCGTGTTAATATAATCTCCTTTTGTAACAAGAGAACATTAACGCTATTTCCAAGTAAAATAAGCAATCATAATATTTAATGCTGACGTTGGTACTGATACATATAAAGTCTTCATGATGCGATAGAAAATTCCATGTCTAATGCTTCGTCACAATATCTCAGATATGACTTTAAAGGAATTTCACAGAGTTGGTGAATTCTAGTCAAATTATAACTCTATTCCAAAACTTTCTCCGAAAATATTAACAATATTTTCAGTGAAAACAATAATTTATTTATCAAATTTCTTTAACTCGATGCTCGTAAATGAACATAATTCTCCCCAGATCACTTTTCCTTTTTATAGCAAGGCTATATAATCCAGTTTACTTTGTTATTTGACCAATAGCTGGTAAGGGAGGAGATATCAAATTCATAAGATCACTTAAATTCCAAAGATCACAACCTACGTAAATGCAAGATTAAGTGGGTATAAAGACATTTTTCTTTTAATCATTTTACCCAAAGTAAGGCGGGAATGCAAATAACATGCATGGGATTACATGGAGTGAAATTAAAAGCGAAGATTGAAAATAGAGAGGATAAAGGATAGAATGAAATCTGGACAGGGTTCAAGATGACAGATTGACGTTGCATTTAAATTTTTGAAGATTGTACTTATCAGGGAAGTGAGGAAACGGAAGTGAGAAAACGGAAGTGAGTAGCACAGAGTGAGGATGGGAAAAGAAACTGTTGGAGCAGAAGTGGCGGTTGTATTTCGGTATTTCAATAGTAAAACGGTAGAACCTAGATACCAATCTAGTAGCACGCTTAAATTCATCTAGTCGGAGCACCGTGGAAAAAATCTCGTCAGAACAGTTGCCATGGAGATATTTATAAAAAGACAAATGAAAGCTACGTCACGTCGGTGAGAAATTGATTGAAATCTAGATGCCTAATCAGGATTGATTACATTACAAATTCTTTGGATTTTGTCAAGAATCTTTAGAGGGAGAGCAGAAGCACCAGACCAGATATGACGTCAGTATTCAATGCATGGACGAATGGTAGATTTGTGAATATGCAAGAGTGATTCTGACGCACGACACAGTGACCCAATCTTCCTTACAATGGATATAGTCACTCTATTTTCATATCAGTGGAAATGCGTGTGCAAGAAGGCGTAGTGTGTTGTTCTCACGGAGTCTAGCGTCAGCCATGCTGATAGCAAGCAGGAAATATCTCTGCGGTGGTTAAATGAAAGCTGTTATTAAATGAAGAGTACTTAATTGACAAGTGGAACAATTTTCGGGAGACATAAATGCCTTAAGTGAAATAAAGACAAACTGTAAAGTCTGAAATAATTACAGCAAAATTAAAGAAACCAATATAAAATGAACACAGTAGATGTTATTTCAAAATCTCTACTTTGAAAAAACTAAGTTCGTTATTTAGCCTTCGGAAACATGGCGAAACTATTTTATAATATATTTTTTTTAATTTTCAGAAGAACAAAACAATGTCGCGGGAAACTGGCTTGCAACTTTTAATTTCACAAAAACCAAGCTAGTCACCTTTTAGCATCAGTTCTAGAGTGAAATTGAGGCTAAACATAAATGTAAATTGGATAGATCCCTATTTTGTCGTAACTAAAGAAAACAAAGCGTCCCTTGACTGGACTATTTGTTTTCTTTATTTACGATAATATAGGGGTTTATCTAATTTACATCTATATTTAGGCTTAATTTCTGTCTAGAACTTAATGTCCCACTGGTAAATATACTAGAAAAATGGTCGAATCATTCTCTTCCTCCAGAAAGTATCCGGGACCTTCTGCCATGCTTCATTTTTACAAGAATCAAAGACCAAAAATGGAGTATTGCTGTCATAGTTGGAGCTACCTTCACCTTCCAGCGTTGATCATGTCCAGAATGTTTACGTAGTCGTGTGGAGCATGAATTATTTCACACCCAGCAGATAGATAAAAAAGTTGCAATCAAATCTTTATTTTATAGCAACTTCCATGGCAGATCTTCAAATGAGCTCCACTTTTTTCGTTCAATCAGTTCAGTCATTTGCAGCTAGGTCACTTACAGCTAAAGGCACACCATGTTACTATCACCGAGTAGAATCACTTTCATTTGCTCCGTATTTCACACGTCCCTCGATACTAAAATCGTAACTTCTTCAAGTGGTTAATATTTATGTACCAATATGAGACCTGAGATTATTGAAAACCTGAGAATGTCGCCGTTGTTGGACAACTATATATCTGTGTTAAACTGTTTAAAAGGGTAAAACGCAATTCCCATGACTAGAAAAGCGTATTCACTCACATTTGTGAGATAAGATGATTAGGAAAACGTAACGATAATAAAAAAAAGTATATATTTTGAATAAACGGTTGACAAGGTCAGTAGGTGAAAATCGTCAAAGATATGATGTCGCTAGAATGACAGTCATGAGACACGGCAAATGAGTATATGTAGGAAATTGGGGAATGCACGAAATTGCGTGAGTGCTGAAATTGGGTGGACCCATGGCTACGGGGAATAACGTTGTTAGTATTGAACAGTCAGGATGAGTTATAGGTGGGGTGGGGGGATTTTGGCAGACACATAGATTTGTCCAGGAGCACAGTCGCCAGCAAGTTTGGGAGAGTTTTTAAAGAGAGTTGGAGAGTCGGAGCGAATCAGAGCCCAGTCGTCGGCCTGTTGCATGCATTCGCCGTCAGAAGAACAGCTTCTTTGCCAGATAGATTCGTCAAAGGTCATTCTTTTAAAGAAGTCTTCAGAAGTTTGATTCCACAGAAGTATAGCCACAGTTACTTGGCTGGACAGAAGGAGAGAGTACAGTATTTACATAACGCGGACATTCATCTTCATCTTTGTTGCCATATTTATCACTTTGTACACTCAGTCCTTCTTCAGGTGATTGGAATGTCGAACTGAACTATTTATTTCGCTCGCTGGGGTAGACTGTTCTAGTCCCACGTGCCATGTCTAATGGATGTAAGTTATCAGTTATCTCCTGTTAGTTCCCTTTCTAAGGTCTTAACCAGGTATTTAAACTCTTTCTCTTTGGGTCCTCTCACTGGATCTAACTAACGCCTGTATCCACTGTGCCATGTGTCTTTGAGGACATCTGTGTATGAATTTCTGGGTATTATGAACCTAATGTCTTCAGCATCATTTCTTTACCGGTGCTCATATTGCAATTTTTGCTGTTATCATTGACTGTTTTTTTACCAGAGCTCATATTGCAATTTTCGTAGTTATTATTGCTTGTCAAGCATAGAAATGAATACAATATGGGAACTAGTAAAAAAGAGTGCCAGAGAAAAGCAATAATAACAAAGAAAATTACAATATGATCTCTGGTAATATATATATATATATATATATATATATATATATATATATATGCAATGATAACATCGCTAGAGTTGCTCCTGCATCGTTGTTTCGTTAATTCTTCGTCCCATTCGTCCGATTCGGGAATATTCTATCTGATTTTCCAACACACATTGTGTCGTTTAGATCTTGAAAGAGATGTATCCGACGAAGTATCCGGGTCGGAGAAGTTGCAGTGTTGTAAAATGGTATCGTCATTAGTATTATTAATGGCAGTAGTATGATATTTATTAATCTTTGTTTCCTGACAAGTAATCTTTTATTCATATTACACATGTACTTCATCATAACGATTTTAAGACAATCGTCCAAGCTTGAATTACTCTAGATATTTGTACATAGTGGACAACATGTAGTTTGTATGCCATACATTGATTCATTCGTTTGAGATTATTTGTAATCATTTATCTAAGAAAAGGGTTGTATACAGGTGATAGTTTAGACATTTTTGAGTGTGGACCGCCATAAATGATATTGGTGAGAGAGAATTAAAAAAATAAGTTAAAAAGAGTAAATAAATATTTACAAAATAACTATGTATAAAATAAATATTTACAAAATAAATATTGTTTCGAACACTGAATAAATGATTACTTGAATAAATTGAGTTGCAAAGAGATGAGGTTCATAAAATTGATTTCACAATTTAACATTTCCCAGCACCATTAAGAGTAAGAAAGAGAAATATAGATCTGTAGAATTAGAGAGAGAAAAGTGGTGATGAAAGACAGACTGAGAGAGAGAGAGAGAGAGAGGGGGGTTGAGGGAGAAACAGAGAGAAGTGAAAAGAAAGAGAACGTGTTGTGAACAGAGGGAGAACGTTTCTCGTCCTCTGGAATATTTCCTTTGACGAAAGAATTAATAAAAAGCATATAAATAAATAGACTGAAGGAGAGAAAAGAGAACAAATGAGATTGCTTATGAGAGAGAGAGAGACGGGGGGAGAAAGAGAGAAGGTGTGGGATTAAGAGGGAAAGACAGATTGAGAGAGAAAATAAAGAGCATGACTTGTGAACGTAGGGGTAGCGTTTTTCTTACTCTAGAATATTTCCTTTAACGAAAGAATTAATAAAGGGACTATAGATTTATAGACTATATTTATATGGTTATGTGTGTATGTGAGAGAGAGAAAGAGAGAGAGATGGAGAAGTTGTAAGAGAGAAGATGTGAGAATAAGAAGGAAAGAGAGGTTTAGAGAGAGATAGGTTTAGATAGAGAGAGAGAATAGAACATAAAGAGCACGTCTTGTGAACCTAGGGGTAGCGTTTTTCTTCCTCTAGAATATTCCCTTTAACGAAAGTATTAATAAAAGGAGTATAGATTAGTAGACTTAGGGAGAGAAAAGACGAAAAGTGAAATTGGTTATGATAGAGAGAGAGAGAGAGAGAGAGAGAGAGAGAGAGAGAGGAGGGAAATGGCGAGAGAGAGAGGATGTGAAAATAAGAGGGTGAGAGAGAGGTTTAGAGAGAGAGATAGAGAGAGAGAGAAGAGAAAATAAAGAGCCTGTCTTGTGAACCTAGGGGTAGCGTTTTTCTTCCTCTAGAATATTCCCTTTAACGAAAGTATTAATAAAAGGAGTATAGATTAGCAGACTGAGGGAGAGAAAAGACGAAAAGTGAAATTGGTTATGATACAGAGAGAGAGAGAGAGAGAGAGAGAGAGAGGGAGGGAAAAGGCGAAAGAGAGAGGATGTGAAAATAAGAGGGAGAGAGAGGTTTAGAGAGAGAGAGAGATAGAGAGAGAGAGAAGAGAAAATAAAGAGCCTGTCTTGTGAACGTTGGGGTAGCGTTTTTCATCCACTAGAATATTTCCTTTAACGAAGGAAATAATAATACAAGTATAGATCGATAGACAGAAAAAGAGAGAAAAAGAAGTAACGCACAGAGTGAGAATAGAGAGAGAGAGAGAGAGAGAGAGAGAGAGAGAGATCTTTTGAGGGAGAAACAGAAAGAAGTGAAAAGAAAAGAAAGTGACAGTCTTCTGAAGAAAGGTCGACATTTTCTTTTCCTCTGGAGTATTTATTTTAATAAAAGAGTTAATAAGAAAAGTCCATACCACAAAATTAACAATTATAGAAGGACAAACAGAGGAATATAAAAGAAGTAGAGCGATAGTTGTTATGAGAGAGAGAGAGAGAAAGAGAGAGAGAAAGAGAGAGAGAGAAAGAGAGAGAGAGAGAGAGAGAGAGGAGAAAATAATGAACGTCTTCTGAACCGACGAAGACATTTGCTCTTCTAGCATATTTCCTTTAATGGAAGAATTAATGACAGCTATAGATCGCTAGGCAGAGGTTGAGAAAAGAAAAATCAGAGAGAAAGAGAGAGAACGAGAGAAGTGGGGAGAGAGGATCAGTTTTTGAAGGAGAGATAGAGAGAAGAGAAAAGAAAAAGAACGTCTTCTGAACAGAGCGACATTTTCTCTTCTGGAATATTTCCTTGTATTAAAGTTGTCTATTATTTCCCCGGGGGATATTGTTGATTTGAGTTCGTAGAATTTTTGGACAGGAAAATATAGAAAGTAGATAATAATGCCAAGCTTCGAATTAAAAAAAAAAGAAGGAAATCTCTGAGCATCTTCCAGTCGGAGATTACGTTTTAATTTTGAGGTCAATAACAAAAACAAAAAAAAGAACGATTCAAAATCACAATCAGATTTGTCCCAGGCTAGAATGCAGAAAATAAGGTATTTTCTTGCTCTGTATGGGTAATAAAATATATTTTTTTTTATTTTTTATTTCTATTTTTTTACTCCTGACTCCTGAAATGATGAACATTTTGGTGTGTTTGTGATGTTATATGTAGTGGATCAGCAGAGGATTTTTAAATTATTACAGTCTACTTAATTGTGTGATATGACTTCTTGGTTGACCGATAAATTTTATGGAATTATATTTACAAAGTCTAACGTAACCTGTAAAATATACGAATTCGAACGACCAAAGATATATCAAGCGGTGAGTTCTGGATGTAACTGTCCATGTAAAGCAAAAGATTGCTAGATCCTAATGTCTACTGATTAAATCATTCATTAACATGTATTCATCAGTTACTTTACTAAATATTCACTCAATAAATTACCCAAGGGCCGCTCACAGTAAAGGTTTGTTGAATGTGGTTGTTGTTTGGTCGTAAGAGGAGGAAGTAGATTGCATATTAACAGCATATTTAAGAGCGATAAACGTCGATTGAAGATGTTAAGATTGTACTGATGGCGAGAGAATTCTCTTGAGATTCTCTTTTACAAAGTAGCGGTTCTCCGGAAGAAAGAGACCGGCATCGGAGGAGGAAAAACGCTAAATTCAAACCAGCCTGTAGAAGATTGGCAGAGGCCTGATGAACCTTTGATCAGAGCTAACGTCAGCTTGCAGTTAGGAGATGGAAACTCCTATTCAAAAAAGCCAATTATTGTAGCCTCATCTGTCATGCATCTGTAAAGGACATAGTGTTCTGATGGAGAGAATGTGCATCGTAGGGTATATGCAATTGGTCGGCTTAATCAGTACAGGTTGTCCGCTAAACAATTCGTATATACAAATCCTTATCCGTCGTTGTCGACGTGAGAATCTATCTAGCTATATAATTTAATGCCTACCGAGATTATCTGATGATTAAAATTAACCAGGAAAATACCAAGAGTAAAGTTCAAATATCGTCACAAAAAAAAAAAAACTCAAGAAAAATCCCGCGAAGAGACAGTCGCCCGCGCAGGAGAAAAAATATGTAAACGATATCATTAGAATTATCTGATGATCGCGGTTTTGCCTAAAACACAGAATTACGTTCAAAGTTCATTTTCTGTAGACTTATTTCTGTTTATTGGAAACACACGCACACACACACATACTGGCACACACACACATACTGGCACACACACACACATACTGGCACACAACCACACTCATATATATTTATAACATATTTAATATCTTACGAATAAAACGTAATCATATTTAATATCTCACGAATAAAATAAACTATGAATGAAATGACAACACGAACTGACATATGAAGAAGGGGAAACTATTTTTAAAAGCTGTCACGACAGGTGAAGCCGTCTTATTTAAAAATACCATGAAACAGACATAGTATATAAAAAACTTCACTGCTAATGATTTAGGAAAGGCGAATGTACTCAGACATTGGGTAATTTATTTTTAAATTTATATTACAAACCAGGAAAATAGCTCAAAATATTGGAAAAAAAACGAAAAGAAAAACATATTTGACAAAGAATATTCGTTTGTCATTAACCAAACCTGTATAAGAGTCGCTGCCCAAATACATACATATACAAAAGAAAGCAAATACTATCATGTTATTTTATAAGTCCACATGTATTCCTGACACAGCGGGAAATTACGCCAACCTCCTACACCATTTCTCACATTTTGTCGTGACAAATACTTCGTTGACACTTCTCGGCATTCGCTGTTAAATATTAAATTTGATGCCAAATCGAAAGCATCCTCTGGTACCTTATTTCAAAGGACGATCTTTTCGGTATGCCAAAGCTGACTGGGACAACTTCAGATCGTATATTACGGAAGCTCCCTTTTCAATTCTTCTAAAATTGCGCTTCCACAACTGATTCCATGATTTCTGAATGGCCTCTTTTTTGCATGGTATATATTATCCTATCCTCCCCGCAAAAAGAAAAAAAAGATTCCAAAAGTAGCAAAAATCATCCTTGATTCACGCCAGAATGTATCGAAGCCATAGCCTACCGTAATAACCACCACCCACATTACCACAGAGAACGGTATAGTAATGCCATTGCTACATGCAGAACTGCTCACAATCATTGCAAGAGAGTTTTAGACAATTCAAAGAGTAGTTATACACATTCAGTCTGTGGCAAGGTTGTAAACAAAAGACTTGCTTCTTGTAAGCCTTTGGAAAATCTCGAATAAAATTCTCAATAGAAGAAAAGTGCCAATATCTGCTATAAAAATGGTTTAGGGGTGATTTCATTCTCACCAGACAAAGCAAGGCTATTTGCAACGAACTTTGACTTTAATTCCACGTTGGATGATAAGGACCACCGCACATTTGACTCCCCTTCTCACGAAACACAAATATTGCACTATCAACATACTTATCAAATGCCTTAACTTTATAATGGCTATCGGTACGGATAAAATCCTGATAGTGATTCTGAAGAAGATTAGCCTATTATATATATATATATATATATATATATATATATGTGTGTGTGTGTGTGTGTGTGTGTGTGTGTGTGTATGTATGTATGTAGATAGATAGATAGATAGATAGATAGATAGATAGATACGAACATAATAGACGCGTGTGTTTTAGACATGTTTTTTCAGCTGGGAAATTGACGTCATTAATAGGGTTTCTCTTATGTCGTGTCAACCACCGGTTACCAAATTGCATGAATTTAAACGTGCTACTACGTTGGCACCTCCGCCCCACACTTTCACTGTCAAAACGGTTAAATTTAGTCGTCTCTTCTACTCCAATAACTTTGTGTCTCGCACTTCTTGTCTGCAGAACTCCCTTCCTCTTACTTGCTTCCCTGATAGCTATAATCTCGAACTATTCAAATGCAATGTCAATCGACATATCTCCAGATGCCTTGATCTGTTCCCCGTACTTCTCTTCATCCTTTCCTCTATTACGCCACTTTTACTCTGTAACTTGTGTGCTTGTAGCACTGTCGCCATGCTTGCGGTAATAAGTTTATAATATATATATATATATATATATATATATATATATATATATATATATATATATATATATGATTAGCTTTGGTATTGTCAGTTTAAAATTATTGATTTATTTGCAACAGTGAATCAATATAATCTTCCACGTATAGGCATTTTAGTCTTATTTTCAGAAATAAGCTGCATTAATATTTCGACTTTCTTAGACGAATTATAATTAGTTATTTCTCTCGTACTTATTTCATGTTGTTTTTACTGTGACAGTCAGATGGTAATTTCCCGACAGTTGAATAAACAGCATTGAAAGCAATTAACACATAGTTCACCGGCCTAATCATGAATTCATATTTTCGCGAAGTCTTCTTACGGAGACGTTGCCTTACCAATTAAGGTACAAACAATCCACTAGATTTTTTGCCAAATCCTCATTATAAATTCCTTTGACATCCAGACAATCGTGATGCTTTTAGTATCTGTTTTATTAGCAGGGAAACTCAGTTTTATCTGGGAAATATTAATTCAGATAAAACAACCCATAAAAATAGATACTTTATTATTCTTGAAAATTTTTTTTCTTAAAATAAATTTTAAAAAAAGATCAAGTACACTATTTACATATTAAAATGTTAAACAATACAAAACACAAAAATGATGCCGTAATTTAATATAAAAAATTCAAAGGCCGATAGGATTTAAGCATCACTCTTTCGTTTTCACTTCATCCTTTCCTCTATCACGCCTCTTTACTCTTGCTCACACTCTGTAACCCTTTGCGTACAAGTGGCGTCCCGCCTTGCTTAGGTTGAAATTCTTAAAAAAAAAAAAAGGAAATAGCTATTTGGGATAATCAACGGAAGTATGATCATGGGGAAAATCATACCGACATCTTAATGAGGTTAGTTATCTTTTCAATATGTCTGTTCGTGGCATAGTTAAACACAACTATGAACTGAAGTCGAGTGAATAAAAAATGAAAATCTGTTAGAATATAGAGGTTCCTAGAAACGAATATATAGTTCTTTTCGCTCACCATAGTAAGGCAGGTACTTTGAAGCTGCATACCAGCTTAGTGACTCAATTGCACCAATTTCGATAGTTGAGATATACATTTTAGGTGAATCCAATTGAAATAACATCAAGAGACTCAAAAACATTCAGGACATTCTTCAAGGTCTTCTGAACTATGTCACATCCCATCTACAGCTAGTATCTCTGCAAGAATCATCCGTTGGCCAAGAAATAGACAGCTGACAATGAAAAAGTTGAAAAAAAAAAAAAGATTTATTCCTGAAAATTTAGAATATTTTCTCCGATATTTTTCAGTTTTTCGCGAGGTTTTTCGAAAAAGACGAAGATAAAATTATTCCAGTCGTTTGTTTGAAAAATGGCCTCTGCTGAGCGTACATGACTTTAAAGGTTAAGCACAACTAATTTTATCGACGTTTCATTTTCTGCCTAAGCTATGCTTATGTCCTGATTTTGCTCCAAAAATGTAATAACTTTGCTCCAATGCTGACCATAAATGCCACAAACTAAT